GGCTGTCCCACGGCCTTAACTAATATTTACTACTACTGGGGAAAGGAAAAAGCCAGGGGAAAGGGAGAAAGGGGTAGGAGTGGAGGAAATGGAAAGATTTTTAGGTTACAATTTTTATTATAACCAGCTAACTTTACACAAACACAAAACCAATGGGCTTAAAATTCTAATGTTCTATATCATACCATATTAATTTTTGGCTTATATCAGTGACTATGGATCCAATTTTACTATTTTTACTCAATATTATTTCCCATATAGACTTCCATATATTTATATTTTTTCTTTTAACTTTTTCAGCATATATCATCTTATTTAATCCTTGCAATCACCCTGTTAAGTTGAAATTTTTATTCCGTGGCTGAGAGAGATTAAGAAACTAGCATAAGGTCATAAATCTAGTGCAGGGCTGGGATCTGGACATATTGACTTTCAACAGCTATGGAGCACCCCATGTTTTTTGGATAGAGTCAGATTTTTTTTTAAGACAAAAAGTTCAAAAAAACCAAAAAGATATTTTAAGACAAAAATCTAGATTGATATGATCTAGATTTCAGGTTTAAAAGAAAACGATCCATCAACCTTCACCTTCTTGAGGCCCAGGTGTATGATTCTTAATCTTCTTTTACACTTGACTACCGATTTTCATGTCATCAGGGCGCTCATGTAAACAACTACCCAGGATAGTTGCTCATTTCTCACAGCAATGTGTGGAGGTGATGTTCATTCATTTATTCCTTCCTTCCTTCATTCATTCATTTCTCAAACAGCCCTGTGAAGAAGAATCACTATAGTGTTAACTCTAATGGGCAGAATGGACCTCAAGTGACACTTCCTATGCTTAACACTTGGAGGCTGTCACTCAGTAGGCTCCTCTCATCTACACAGGGGGCGATTCAAGAATATTCTAAATTAATTGGTAGTTTGGGGTATAATTAAATTAATTTTATAATTAAATTTTTAAAATTCTAATTTTTATGCCTTTTGGGGTTTTGTATTATTTGTGTATGTGTATATGGGCATACAAAAGTCTTACATGCTCATTGTAAAATATTCCAACACTGCAGACATACATGATGCAGAGAGGTAGAATCTCCAGTAATTAGGAACCAGCCTCTGACCCCAAACTGGAGAAGGCCACTGCTAATCCTTTCATTCTATGTATAGGACAACATGATATATACTGTATTTTTATAGATGATGTTAACGTAAAATTGCACGTGTCTTGTTCTGGATCTCAACTTTTTTCCGTGCATAATTAAGTGTATTTAAAATGATTTAAAATAAATTATGAGTCATCCCTCAGCCTTTCTTAACCAGTGAAATGAAATGTGATGTGTCAAAATTGAGTTAAATCCATAATCTCAGTAGATGTGCTTTTGACTTGCACGAAAAGCAGGCAGGCAAAAGTGAGACAGCTCCACACACCATATTGACATTCAACAACGAGAAGGTCAGAGCAGGGAGCTGATGTCAATATGTTCATCCTGGACTGCAATAAAGCTGTCCTGGCAACTGCAGTCCCAGCTGCCACTTCCCCTCCTTTTGGTGAGAAACGCACCATTCAGATCCTCATCTCCTTTGCTATGGAAAGACAACGCTTTAACAAAGGTTTAATTGTTTTTCACTAATATCAATATAGTCTAGATTTCAGGTTTCAAAGACAAATTTAAAATTTCCGCACCAGATAGGGCTTTATTTAACAAAAAGACTACGAGATGACAGCTGAGATTTCTAATTCTGCCGCATGAAAATTACCGAATAATTGTACGACGGGGTCATCATTCTGAGAATCATAAAGTGCATGCAGCTCTCCATTTTATTTTCCAATATTTTCCTGGGGATGCTTTTCTTGGGCATATCAATAGCAGTTTTAAATGTTGGGAAATGTTTTCCCTCTACCTTCTTTTCTGCCAAGAAGAGGGTTGGCACAAGCCACAGTGAAAAAGGTAACACTGCCCTGTAACATGATACTATTACAGTCCATTTTGCATCAGGGAAACTACCTCAGAATGAGCAAAATCCACGTGCACAAACAGGCGTCCCCAGGTTAGAAACGTTTTTCAGTTGGCAGATTTGGCAGCAGAGAAACAGTCAAATGCGGAAAAGCAGGGCTTCCTAGAGGCCTGTCTCCCGGAGATGCCCTCCCCATGGCAAATCAGCCAGAATAAATGCTCATTACTCATATTTCTGCTCCCAACTGGCGACATCAAAGCCAGGTCGTATACGAGCCCTTCTGAAGGTAGAGAAGGATTGAAGGAATCAAAAAGAGGAGCCCACAATGATCTCTACTACTATAGGACCTACACACTTTAACTGTGCCGGACCCACTGAACGTCAATTTTTAAAAAGTCAATTCTCAGAAAGTTGGAGAATTAAAAAAATTAAGAACTATTTCACAAGAAGGCAGTTCCTATCTATATTCAGTACAACCCAATTTAAAATTTATATTGGTCTTCCATCCACTCCCGGGTGCTTTCAGAGAGCGGCCTGCCAGAGGCCATTAGCACACAGTCCTCACAAATGGAGAAGCAGCAGCATTCTGATTCAGCGGGGGGCAGACTGCCATTTGTGCTGACTCAAGTCACTTGGCAGTTGACAAGCTTCCCTGCACTGTGAATTGTGGTCACTTTTCCTCAGAATAGGATCTAGGGAACAACCCGAAAGGATCATGATATAAAGAAAGATCATGCTTTGATGTTGGGTGGGATATGCAAATAGGAATGAGAATAGGGTGCTTTAGTGCTGTCAGAGTGTGCTGCATTTTATTTGGGAAATGAGACAAAATCTTCCTATGATCAGCCACTCCATGTGACATCCCAACCCACACTCTGCTACTGACATTTTATCTCCCACTGAACAGCCCGCCTGTTGTAACATTTTCAGGATTCTTAATTTATGTCTTGCAGGATCTAAAATCAGATGGTAGGAACTTTAAGAAAATAACCAGTGTTGACAGGCACCTTTATACTTCAAGAAGCTGGTACACCTTAGTGCTGCTAAAAGTTGGGGAATGTTCTCTACCTTCTTCCAATACGTGTCCAGAAGAGTGGGATGGAGATAGGGAGCTGTCCTAAATTAATTTCTCTTTTCAATCTAAACTCTATGAAAGACCTTTCCTTCCACCTAATATTAGCTAGCAAGCTCATTCCCCTTTCTTGCTATGAGTGATTTCAGCATTTTAAAAGTTAATTAATTGATTTAATTAATTTAAATTAGAATGACCAAGAAAAATTAACTAAGATTCTTATATTTGGCCAAGAACTATGGAAAAGTAAAATGACTCAAAGGTAAGATCAGTAACTTAACATTTGTGTAAGCTTTATAACTTACTGAACTGTTGATTCTCAGAAAACTAATGAGGGAAGATATGATGATGATGAGGATTCCTACTTTACAGAAGATACAAATGAGGCTCAGAAAATGGAAATGACTAGTTGCAAATCACTCAGCCTTGAAGAAATTGGGACTAAAACCCAAATCGCATGTTCTTTTCATTATATCACAATGCTGCTTTGTAAAAGCAGCAACTTTGGATCAGCTGAACATATGAATATACCGAAACCTTTTCTCTTCACAGTATTGGCAGTGCTGAACACCTGGGGCTCTTGAGCTTACATCTGCCAAAGTCGGGATGGTGGTGTACACAGTAGGTCTGGAGTACTCAGCCTTCAACTTCCTCTTCTCAGAATGGATTTATATCTATTTATCTATAATGTAGTGCTTAAGGGTACTGAGTTTCGAGCCAGTTGACTAGCTCTGCCACTACCTAATAGCTGACCTGGGCAAGTTACTTAACTTTTGTGGGCCTCATTTTCCTGTACTGTAAGATGGAGATGATAATAGCACCTGCTGCATAGGATTGTTGTAAAGATTAAACGAATTTATTGGAAGAAAACGCTATATAAATGTTACTTAGTATCACCTATCAGTTTACCACAGGCTTTTACAAATGCACTATAAATGCACCTATAATATGTTTGCGAAAACCTCTAGTTAGATGATAAAGCTAAGAAAAGCCTTGCTCCATCCCTGGAGGTAGGAAACCAGTATACTTTTATGCAGTACCTTGCACATAGTGGAGGTTTACAAACATCTTTAAATTGAACTGAAATGAATACTACCGGAACTGAAAGTGGTAGTCCCGGATCTCTCAGGCTCAAGGTCCAAATTTTTCAAGTGTTTGTAGTCCACCTCCCTTTCACTCCCCCACCTCATTTATCTCAAAGGGCAGAGGCCAGGAAAAGGATGAGTAACCAGTTCCCATAAAACTCAGGTAAGAGTAAAAAACAGTTCTGAAAAACTGCAAAATTTACGTCCTGGTGCCTGAAGCTTAGGTCAGTATATATTTCTTCTGCCCAAAGCCCATGAGGCTATCTTTATATTACTGGGGCGAAACCCCTAATAGCCCTCCATACCAAACAGCTCTCAGCAGGTGCTTCCAAATTTTATTTGCTTCCCCCTCCCAGGTTGCAGGAGAAACTCTTGGGCCGACTGAGTAAGAGCGGGGCGCTTCACGTGAGCTGACCCAGCTAGGGAAGAAGAGAAATGAGAGTAGCAGCAAGTTAGGTTCGGTAAAGGAGGAGAGACCGCGACCCAATGACGAGACGGCAGACCGGCAGCACTAGATCTCCTCGCCCGTCGAAGAGTTCTCACCCCGCCCCAGCCCCGATCATCCCGCCCAAAGCCCCACCCAGAGTCCGCCCCACTCGACCCCGGCGAGTCCCTCAGCCTCCGGCCTCGTCCGCCAGGCGCTTGCGCATTTCCTAAGGTGTCTTGGCACTGCCCGAATCTAGTTGTAGGGAAAGAGGGAACCTCGTATGTTCTACAGACCCAGATACAGCGGCTTTTCGCGCTCTCCTAGACTATTTTGGCCTTTCTTGGTCCTGAGAACCCGGCTTTTTGTTCTCTTATATGACTTAAGAGAGTATGTTTTAAGTTAGGCGCTCTCCGGGCAGCCCGTCTCCTGGCGCAGGGTCCTTGGACTGAGTCTTGGGGCGACAGCCGGGAAGGCAGGGTCCTTCTTTTGAGCGGTCGCGCAGGCAGCGGCTGCGGGAAGCCGGAGAGCGGGCAACATGTACTACAAGTTCAGTGGTTTCACGCAGAAGTTGGCGGGAGCGTGGGCTTCCGAGGCCTATAGCCCGCAGGTACGGGTAGCGCCGCGCCGGCTCGGACAGGGGAAGTGGTGGCCCGAGCCTCTGCGTCAGGCAGTCTCGGCGCCGGAGCCGGGCGAGGTTTTTCCCCGTGGTGCGGTTTAGTTCGCCCTGCACCTCCGGCGACTCTACGCACCCGCTTGCCGCGGCTGTGGAGGCTCTACATTCTGTAGCTGCTCCCCGGGTGGGGCTGGCCCGGTACGGAAGTTGGGCCTGACACTCAGCAGGGGTCAAGGTGACCTCCGGGGTCGTTGCTTGTGGGTCGTGGGGTGGCTCGTGCGGTCTGTGGGGCCCAGAATGTAACCCGGCGGAGACCGAATTTCGCCCCTGTCTTTTTTAAAGAATTCCGTTTTCGACCTGTTTAGTGTCCCGTTGTCATCCCGCTGCCGCAGCCCAAAAGGCAGCTTCATCCAAGCACGAGATTGGAGAGCTGAGATGACGGCACCGAGGGAAAGCCATGGGGGCAGGAGGGGCTGTATGATCAGAATTAGGAAACTTAACGGGTTCTTTGAGATATCCAGATGAGACTGGGCACTTACATGCAGCGAGCTTATGCCGTCCCAACTGTAAAATGGTTGACGGCTGCTCATTATTTGAGTGGTCTGAAAAGTATTCTGATTTAGTCTCTAGCTTGTGGTGTAGAGATTAGGTACTTTAGAGTCCCAGACTCTTAATTTGGGCTCAAGTCCTGGCCTTGCTGCTTTTGTTTTATGATCTTGAGCAAGTTAATTTATTGTGAGCTCAATTTCCTCCAGGGCAGTTTTAGTACAGATTAAATGAGGTGTGTGTCAGCTAACTACCAGTCTTCGGCAGGTGGTTGGTACTGGATAAGTGGTATCTGTTCTCCGGAAGATGAGTCTGAGATACAACTATATTCATTCTTTATCTTCATAGAATGGTGTGGGAAGGGTTGAAAGCAGTTGGGAAACTGGATTGGAATAGTAAGGGGCCCAGGTGGGGTGTAAAGAATGCTCCATTATTGTTACCTCCTCCTCTTTCTGTGGGATGCTGCAACTTTCCCAAGGGGGAGGAGGTTTAAGAATGATTTCAGTATACGATTAGATGTGCTGTTAACTAGGATAGAGAGGGCAAGAAGAAGGGCAAGTTTTTGGGGGTTGTGGGGTTGGGGAGGAAGGGTCCAGGTTTATAAATGTTGAGTCTGAGATGATATGTCGTGTGTGTGGTAGCAGCTGGATTTGTGAATAAAGAGTTTAATAGATCTGGGTGGTTTCAGCCCATAGGTGGTGGTAGAATCTGTGGTGGGGAGGAGATCATCCAGGGAATATATAGGGAAGAAAGGTGGGAATATGATTAGACTCAGAAACACGAAGGCAGGGTAGAGGAGGAAAATTTATCAAAAGAACAATCCAGGATTAGAAGGGAAACCAGCGTGGTGTCACTGAACCAAATTGGTAACAAGGCGTAAAGAAGGAATTTCAACAGTGGTTTCTTTTACAGATTATAGGAAAATAGCCATTTCTATCATATCTGCTTCTACTGTAAAGAAAGTGTATTTTCAGTGCACAGATCTTGAATGTTACAGTTTGGTGAGTTTGACAAATGCGTGTACTCTGTAACCCACACCCCTATTAATATATGCAACATTACGTTACTCCTAAGAAGTTCCCTCTTACACTTGCCCTGTCAATCCCCGTCCACCTTGCTATTCTGACTTTCATCAATATAAGTAGGTAGTTTTGACTATTTTTGGATTTCATATAAATGGAACCACGCAGTGTTCTTTTGTGTAAGGCTTTTTTTCCTCAGTAATTTTTGGTTCATTCATGTTACATGTATTAGTAGTTCTTTTTATTGCTGTGTAGGATTTCATTGTATGAATACATCACAATTGATCTATTCTGTTGGTGGTTGTAGATGTTCTTTTAATAGAGTTTTCGCATAATCTAGGTTTTGTTACCCAGTAAGGAAAAAGGGAAGTTGCAGACTAAAACTAACACATGTTGAAATTAAATTGGCACTCAGAACAGAGATTACCCTGAGATGCCTTGGGTACAAATAGGGCCTTCAGATTTCTAGCACCTCTTGAATTGTGTTTCTCTTGAGAATTTGAACTTCTTAGTACTTAAGGATTTCTTTTTTTTTTTTTTT